TAAATAAGTTAGCTACTAACGTCACTTTAAAAAAAGCTCCTTTCAATTTAAGAACTAAAGAAACGAAATTCTCCTCATTTTTTTCCGCTATATAAGCCTAAATATACATATATAAAAGTAGAACAACAAAATATAAAACAAAATTCCTCGACGTATCAGTAGCTCCAAAGCGGATAGGTCAAAAAACCTTTACAACTGGGTCATTACTTCCCACTCCTGGGGATCTAGTGGAGAATTTTATGACAGGGCGTTTTTGTCAGCTCGCTTCTTTTTTATATACGAAAGAAACGTATGTTCCAATTCAATTCAGTCACAAATACGTTTAATATATATCATTATTTTCATTTCATTTTAATAAGAGAAACTCGGAGCTGTCGAAAACATGAATAACATATTTGTGTTTAAAAGACGACGTAAATAACATAAATATATATATTGCAACAACATACCTACATAGGATACAAAATATGTGAAAGAATAGAATTAGCGATCAGTTTAGACTGAGTTCAAATAATTTTTTTTTTGTAAATTAACCGATTATTTGGTTAAATTTTACTGTCATTAAAATTTGATTTGGGTACATAGTACCAAAAGCAACTTCACGTTAATCGAAAGCGATTATGTAACCGTGAAAGTGTTTCTAATCTTTCTTAAACTATCTGCTTCTGACATTCCAAAAGGTCAAGGGTAAAAGAACATTCCACGAAGTAGCTAGCGGCAAAGAGAAAATGGCATGTAATTGTCTTTAAAAGTTACAGTTTTATTTCTTACTGGAGTTTTTGCTAGAAACGATTGACGTTTAGTATAGGGCTTTAAAAGGCAAAATGTTTTGTCGAAAGTACGTATAACATAAATGTCATTTTAGAGAAAAGAGAAATGCTACTTAAATACCTATATAGCCGTTTCAATGTAAGAATGTATGTTCTTGCTACGTTTCAATCATAGTCTGTCATTTTCTCGGAAACATTATCTCTTGAAATATATGAATCGAAAATTTTAGAGGAATATCGACTACATAAAAACGCCATAAGCGGTTTGCTCATAATGAAACCGTCTAAAGGTCTTTAGGCATGTAGTTTGCCAAATTTCGAGCGCAAAGTAGGGAGCTCGTTTATCCAGGGGAGGCAAAGCTATTAAGTCGATACAGCAACATGTTCTGTCGTTGTTAATATATTTTCACGCCCTTGTGTTTAGTACAGGAAAGCCCAGCTGGTATACTTATAGATAGATATTTGAAACTAAACTGAAAATTTAAGTTTCTCGCTGTATAATAGCTACTTTTCTTTTCTATGAAACTTACTATGTATTTTGGTACGTACTTATTGAGTCTGAATTTAAATTCTATTCAAATACAGATTTTCAGACTCTTTCAAAGGTTAAATTTTAATTTAAGATGGTAATGTTGTCTCTCCCAAGGGTGTAACAGAAATTAAACAATTGTATACCTTGACATTGTTTGGAAGATAAACAAACGAAGTACCAATAGTCTAATAATCCCAAAATTAAAAAGAAAATTTTCCCCCAAACTGCAGGCATCAGGTGTCCTCAACTTAGGCGTAAAAATGGTCCCTATTATCTGAAACATATTACAATGGGGTCGCATGAACCTTCCCCGCGTAGAATAAATTTACATTCCTTTCTTCCTATCTTTTTTAAATATATTTAAGTACCTACCAATTTTTGTATAGACGAGACATAGTAATAAATAGAGAGCCATAGGAATAAAAAAAAAACACAAACATGTAATTTTGTATAATGTGGTTTACATCATAGGATTTAAAGTCTTGCTTCACATTCCTGTTTATCAAGACAACTCTGTTATAGTCAATGTTATAAAAAAGAACTATGTGTGTTTGTCCCCCCACTTATTTACATTTTAATATTTTACAGGATAGTGTCTATAACACTTTGTTCGCTAATGTATTCTGTGTTTTGTACTATAATAGATATCCGAGAAATCATAAAACAACTATTTTACACTTTAATATTATCAGTCGATAAGGGCCTATATGACTAGATTAAAAACGGGTCCGTATTAATACAATGTTGCTTTGAAACTGAACAGAGTTTCAGCCGCCAAAGGAAAGTGCTCGCTATTGTTTCTTGTTTGTTTTTTTAAATACAAAGAAACTGTTAAGAATAAATAAGCCGTGTGATATTAAAACAACAATTGTAGTGAAAATATCAACAAAGGTAAGACCGAAGTGAGACCTACGTTCCTACTTTTAAACTTTTATCATCTTGTTTTTCAAATTTCGTACAAAAATAAACACTCTGAATAAAAACGAATGAAAAAACGTTTTTCACTAAGAAAATTGATTTCATCAAAAATAATTTCAACAGTTCGACATTCGTCTTACGAGTATATATTTAGGCTGTTCTCGACTTCAAAAATGTAACTATTGCTGGAATTAATTTTGTTTTCAATTTCGTTATGACCTTTCGCCCGGGCCTTTGACCGAGCATCGAATGGAGAACTCCTGTCTAGACGTGCTGTACACACAAAGTGAGTTGAGGCGCCAAAAGCGACGAAAATGTATCTATACTATTAGCTTGGAAATTGTATTGCAGGAACATGTGAACGAGGGACAAAATATCCAGTAGGATACCGAATATCGTGGACAAGGAGTGGATATACATTAATAACTATTTTTTTTAAATCAAAATATGAAGAGACATTGACAGCACATTAATAAACAAAGTCTATAACGCACATGAAACCAAGTACTGCCGTAACTCAAAAATGTTGGAATTGTGAAAACACGTATTGAAAGTTCAAAAAATTACTGAATGGAGCCAATAAATTTATATTCCCATTTAGAAGCGGACAACTAATTATTACATATAAATAAAAATAACCTCATTATTGGCAATAATATCCATTCAGTATTTTTTTTATTATTTTCAAATTGTTTTTCTCAATCCAATCATTTTTTATTTCCGAGAATATTTGGTTTCACGTGCGATACCTATATGCATTTTCATTAGTATATATGTGTGTATTATTTAATATTATTGACAAAAACAAAAAATAATTTTATAGATCTTAATGTAGGTATCTATGCTGTAATTGACCAGTATCGTGGAAATGTATTGACTTTTATCCACATCATGGACAACGATGGATAAGATATTGATCTTTAACAACAAGGACAGAAGCCATCACAAGCAGGTGGAAACAGTTTATCCACTCTAGAATTATGTTCTAACGGTGGCGATAGTCATGAGTGGACGACCAAAGAGAATATTAGTATTTGGGCTCTAATTTATTCTATATTTAAAAAGTGACAATGTGAACAAAACGATGAGCAATAAAATAGCATAAATACTCAAGAAAAATAATCTAAATGGCTGTTAAACTCGCAGTCGTGGGAAAAAGAAATGCCGTGATTTTATATTCGTTTTCTAATCATTAATAATTGTCAATTTTTAAAAAGCTTTACTGTAGATTTATTTTTATCCACAATCTTATACTCATACAAATAAATACAGTGGTAAATTTAAATAAAGAATAAAAAAAAAATACTTTAAAAGCAACGTATTAAGTGCATTTACATTTATAAATAATCGTTAAATAATAATTAAGAAACAATTATCACTTCCATTTACTTCTAATTGCGAACTGTAGGCGAGTTTATATTCGTTTACTTGCTTATTTATTTATTTTTTGGCAATATAATATCAATAAAAAGTACTTATAAAAATACCGCCTCAGATATATATGTAAATGTATATTTGATACGAAAATGTTATGAGTTCCTCAAACAATATTACAAAACGTACGAAATAATTTCGAATTTTCAATCTGGTGTGTGTCGAACCTAAACATAACAAAACCCTTCAATGCATGTTGCCCCACGCAAGTGATTTTATTTTACGACCTGCTATTTATACGAGATACGCCTAAATATGTGATGACGTTTAAATTGGACGGAACAAATATCATAGGGCGTTGGGTACTGCGAAAATATCAAATTATTTGAACCTCTTGTTAGATGGGCCTTCAAAAGGGCTCACAAAGGACATTCGAATGCTACGATGGCATAAATTATTCACCAAATGATACATAAATACGACTACATGATTTACGTGAAAAGATATAATTTTATATCATTGCCTAAGACCGTAATCAGAATGGGATTGTGTTGTTGATGAAATGGGTAATAGACTTAATAAAATGTAGTAACTATGTCCACTTCAACCTCGTGGTTACAATTGTTTGTCACACCCTTCATGTTACATTTTATAGGGTACTCGTTCTAAATGGTTTTGAAATGCATTAGGTACTTTTTTCTCCAAATCACTTAAAAACGTACACTGAAAACACGGTCCAAACGTAGATCGACATCAACCCATTTATATCCCGCTGCTGAACTCGGGTTTTCTCTCAGGCGAAGGTTTAGGCCATAGTCCGCAACCCAATGCATTTTGGGTTATGAACCTGCTTCGACGTTCATCATAATGTTTTTCTTTACCGAAAAGCTCATAGTAAATTTCAAATTAAATTACGCAGGTATATTTCAAGAAACTCAGAGTCCGGATTCGAAACCATGGCCTCTACTTGAGAGGCGGTAGTCAAACCATTAGGCTACCTACCACGGCTTACGACGGCAGACGTTATAAAATTAGTATTTTGTTAATTAATTATTAATTAGATACCAATTTCTGCCGCCGAGAAGTAACGTGAGCATTATCTACTGTGTTTCGGTTTTGAAAGGTAAGGGTGCTGGTGAAATTACAGACATATGGCATTTGTCAACTTATGGTCACTCGGTGGGTGACAGACGCAGTAGCAGTGCCACTCAGATCTTTGTGATTTAAACCTCTGAGTGGCACTACAACTGTTATGAACAGACATGTCGTTTATAACCAGGCGCACAATTTGTACGTCCCGTCACTTGTTATCATTAAAGAAATGTAGAAAATTAAATGGCAGAAGGTTTAAAGGCACTGCTCTCTCCACTTTCTCAATATTAAAGTTGTGTTTTTTTTCTTTACAGATGGATTTTGGGTCCTGGAAATTGGAATCACGTAGTAAGAGGTAAGTTTTGTCGTACTCATTGACACTATACTGAACAAAATTTTTATAGAGAATACATTTCTCAAGTCACTTCAAAAATCAATTTCTATATACTTAACCCTTTCTCAATAGGTACAAAGAGAGATCTTTTACAAAATTTCGCTACAAATATTTTTGTCTGTAATATCTGTAAGGCAGGTATAGCTTAATCGAGGGAGGCTGTTTGAGGATCGACATTAATCGGAGGCTTTACGACGGGAACGTAAGCCACAGACGAGGCATCTTGTCGTCGTAGTATACGGAAAATTGACAGATACTTTCATTTTGCTTTGAACTATTGATTACATATATAAGTTAATGTATCCTGCTAATCAGAAAAAGGGTAATTATTGCCAGTTGAGGTATGGCTTTATTTGATATATAAACGTAATTCCGGGTCATAAAATAATTAGATCAATAATTAAAGATTAGGTTGGGTCTCGATAATCAAATCATATTTTGATGTTGCTTAATCAAATTCATATTTTATAGACAATTTCTAAGTTTTCGTTGGGGAATAAAATTATACATAAGACATGAGGCCTTTTGAACTATACAGTCGTAAACTTTGTGATCATCAATTACGAACTGGTACCCAAGTATTCGTCGGTTATAATGCTTATGTTCAAGATTAAAGCTAATCGCATTCAAATATTTATTAAGGAAATGAAACTTAAGTCCCCGTTACGAAAAAAACCCGTATGGAGACTGTTGGCTCTACCGATCACTATTGATATTTTTTAAAAAATTACATGTTGTAAAGGAGCATAACCTAAGCATCCATAGTCTTTACGCTCAGCATCAAAGGAAAAAGTAGCGGTGGAATCGAAGGAGTTCTTCCAAACTGGAAATATAATTTTAAAGATGGCTGCCGCTCTCTCGACCCCCTTCCCCGCTCGCTATCCCGCACCCCGACGCAGCCTAAAATATTATGCACCCAAAAACCATTGTCTGTTGCCATGACAACAGCTCGCTCGATACGAGCGTTTCGCAGCCACACAATCAAAGTTACATTTATCTCGCTTACTCTTAACTAGTCCGATGCTGCGACCGGTTTTGGGTGATGTGCCGCTATATTCGCGCCGCAATGGCTGAATGCCAGATATGTAGAGTTAGCAGAAATGTTTTTTAAGATGTACTTGTTTTGGAATCTTGTTGGAAAACTTTTGGCAAATTTGATTACAAAATGTAAAAATTCTTCATTCTGCTGACCTACTTGGATATGTTTTTATAAAAATATAGGTACCATTGTTTGTATGTTTATGAATATTTACTGTTTATACATGCTTTTGGTCGTTTTCATAGAAAGGTATTTAAAAACAAGGTTATTTGGTATATTTTTAACTCATACTCACCTTCAAATCAAGGTCGCCTTTTCAACACTGTTTATTTATTTCAAGTCTTCTCTTCTTGTAATGCCTACAACAAGCTCTTCATACACAGAAACGCTCTCTATATAAGTATATTACGTAATACTTTCATTCACATCAATGTTATAAACAACCACTTTCAAAACCTCAACTCGATCTATTACGTTAATGTTGTAATCACTTTTCTACCACCAAAGCTACCGTGCAAATGACTGGCCCAAAAATGTGACATATTCTTTTCCAAATTAGAAAGTTTCAATTCAGCTCTCTCATTGGTCAGTTAAATATTTTTTTACCTTACAAACTTTCTCTTTTTTGTTACAATTTCTATTCTTCCTGGATGCACCTCTATGCGGAAGGGGTTTCTAACTTTCACCGCTGAAACAATGACTTTATGGTATTCCTTTCAAAACTGATCCACAGATGGTGCATGTAAAAGAATATTGTGTTTAAAGGATATTTGTACTTCTAATATTTTGTTTTCCAGGTTCTCTTGTTTTGTTTTATTAATATTGTATTGTGATGCACCTAGGTTTACTGTATCTATTGTCTAGATCACAGAACTGTCTCTCAGTAAACATGTGAATCTATCAACATTAAAAATATAAATACTGTTTAAAAAAAACATTAAAAATATAAATACTATTTAAAAATATTTTTTTATATATTGTATATCAATTTAACCAACTAATAATTTACTTATGTACCTTCATTTAATAGCATTTACTGTGTTTGTCAGTATGTTAAATTCTATACATTTTTTTGTGTTGGCAATTATAATACCATTGTCGTATTATAATTTAAATATTTATGCATTGGTTTTGCCTACTATACCAGTCCAATCTTTACCTCAGCCGAAGTATCAACTCCACTCAGTATAATATTGTAAAAGTTCCGCCTTGTCAACAAAGATGGCACCACTATCTATGGGCATTAAAACTTGTTATTTTTATTTTCTTCGCACGTGCTTGTAAATTGAAGAATCAATTACTATTGTTAACTATAATTGATAAATATGTATAAATGTATGTATACTTCAGGTAATAGCTTGTATTGGTATGATGTCGTATGGAAAAATGACGCATGAAAATTCTACGTTAAGTGTTTCAACGGGAATCTAACCCATTTGTTTTGTATCTATATATGAATTTATAATGAGTATTACTAAATTGGTTATAATTGTAAGTAGAATTGAAGTGTCGGAATATAATACACGCAGGCGCATTTCTTTCTACGTAACTCTTTTAGGAGATTTAAAAACAATGTAGTGCTATAATATCTTTCATAAACTACTGTCGCCTGAGTTTTTGTTATATTATAATTAATTATACTATCCAAAATAATGGTTTTGTAACTATACTTACTGGAGTGTGCTTTGTAGTTTTTCATAATATGTCTTTATAAACTAGAATGACTGTATGTCTAGCCTCTCATTTTTCTTTATCATAAATTTTGTTTGTATTTCGTGTACGTTTAGGGATCAGGTGCTAATTTAATAAAATAGATTGTACTTGCAAACTTTATTATTTAACAATATTACTTATTTATAACGTAAACAGACAGCCGCAAATTCAAACAATGACACAAAAAAAATATTTTATAACAAAGCGCCATGAATAATTACAGTCAAATTTAGAACTTTAATAAAAAATTTAATATTATGTACAAAAAATATAAATACAAAAAGATTTGTAGCGATTGTTGCGGTTGGCTGACCTCTTAGTTAATTATTTAATATTATTCTATTTCTATTATTGAAATAAAACAATAAATATTTATAACAGTTTTATTAAATTAGCATTATTTCGGGTTAACTAATACAAGATAAGTGTATAGCCAGGGTAAGTATACAAGTTATACAACAATTAAACGATCAATATGTGTATAATTGTACAAATACTGTATCTACATAATATTTTCCATAAAATTCTCTGTAACGTATATACGTTGTATGTTTTAATGTAAGGCTTATACAAATCACAATTGTATTATAGTATCTTATGTACAATGACACAAAAATGACAATAAGTAAAACAGGATCACAGATAAGAAAATAATCTTCAAGATATCTTCGGTTCTTCTTCTAGACGACCGGTGTCATCCTCTGTTACGTATACTGAAGGTATACCGGAAAGAATGAGGCACTCAGGATACATTCAGTATACGTACAGAAGGCGACACGATATCTTCTCTTCTCAAGTCTTCTCCTCGACAAAGAAGAACGAAGCGCTCCAGTCTGAAACACTAGAATATTATGTTCAACCGAATTCTCGACAAAGATGTTAATAAAGCCTAATTTAAATTTAAGAGGCCACGTTGCCGCAAATCGAAAGTTTACGATTCAATTGTGGCATTTTCACACCATATCGAGGCGCTCTGCAATATCTTAAAAGCTCACCGACCGAAGTAGCGCTCGATTCCAACGCCCCGCTGCCCCTCGGGGTCCACCATCTATAAAATAAAACAACCGATTTACAACACGCTTGGGTTTTCAAACCGAAAAGGGTAACACTGATAGCACATAAGTTCTTCTACCCGATAACCGCCTCTGGCGTACTCGGAAAAGGTATGTGCGATTGTAAATAAGTAAGTATAGACAAATTGTTTTTAAAAATTCAAAACGGCATTGTGCGTTTTGCAATGCAAAATAGACTATTGTCCGACCTAAGACCAATGAGGGAGCTGCAGGCGTAAGACTATTGGTTTGCAAAAATTATTTTCGCAAACTTGCGAACCAGTAGCAGGACGAGCTTTTGTCTTTTACTGTCCTTTGAGGAAGGTGGGACCACAACCGCCCGCAGAGTCAAAGCCTTTTGTCCACCATCCTTTGTTGCATATAAAGGATAAATTACAAAAGAGTCGCCGTTTCGACCACTCGTAAAGATAAAGAATTCGTCTGTGTATATCACAATGAATAGAAAAGTATGAAAGAGCAAGGGTGCATTATTTTCATAATTTACGATGCAAACGGGGCATTACACCGGGTCTGTTGCAATTTTTATTGATTTTAATGGACAAACGAGTCGCATAAAATATTCAAATAAGTAGTGCAAGTCAAAAGATGCCTATGAAGTTGCAAGAACGGCGAGGGAACGGAGAGCAGCGACTGAGATTGATTAGATGGTCAAGGGGTTAGAGCGAGCACGTGACTTACCGGTGCGGTCAGCTGTTCGTGGCGTCCGACAGTAAACATTGACGGATGGTGACGGATAGGGTGGCGCGAGTGGGAGACGTGTGGCCAGTCGCGGCGTCTCTGGGCGTCTGCCGGTCTAGCGAGGCGTCGGGGCGCGCGTCCCTGCCGGCATCGATTACCGCCCTCGCTCGGCGCGCGCCGATCCACCCAACAACTAATCCCAATGCAAGATTTTCATTACATACGCCATGATCGTTGTTATTTGCACCCCGTAATGTTTTTTGAGAGTTTGCTTAGGATTCGCCACTGTTTAGGCGCCTATGCATTAACGAGATTATTCGCCTGACCCACTGATAATTATTAAAATCCTAAGGAATCGTACCTCTGTATAAAGAAGGTTTCCTCCCTAAATTAAGGCAGAAACACCTACGCGCACATAAATATGCGAGTATGTTCACCACAAATTAAGTCTTACGGTT